AAATAAAAACATAATACAAATTAAATTGTTTATTTTTTGTTGATTCTTGACGACTTTGAAAGTTTTTGTTTTTTTTTAATAATAGTTTTTTGTTGCCGTTACAATGATTACATATATTTTTGCCAGTTTAAATTGGTATCATTATGTTTTTAGGTAAGTAACGTAGACAAATTTCATCTTTAATTACATTTGCTTCGCAATCTTGTAATATTTTTGTAAATGTTGGATCTTTTATTGTAAATACGTAAAACTTGCTGAGTCCATTACACTTTTCGCATATTTCTTTGTACGTTTTTTCTACGAGTCGTTGCATTTTTTTTCTGATTATAACAAATTCATCATGATACGGTTTTTTATTTGTTTTTGAGTCATGACATCATCAGATGGATTGTTTATAAAATTGTTTAAATCTTTTAATCTTCTGTAATTTAGGGAGTAAATTTGGTCCATTTCTTCTTTTTGTTTTAAATATGGGTTTTCTTCGTTCATAACATCTCGAATGGCAATAACGTCATGTATAGATAATTTGTCTCATTGACGTTCGTAATTGGTTCTTAATAACATTGTTTCTTTTGAAAAATTTTTAATTTTGTTATTTGTAATAACTGCTCTTCAAATATGTCATGTTCGATTGGAATTTGTTTTGTTTTCATAAACAATAGATTACGTTCCAGTCTTTCGTTTTCTCTTTAATAGAGGTGTAGTTTCATGTCTTTTTCAAAGAGTAGTTTAGCTGTAGAGTCCAAGTGTGTAAACAATTTGTTTTTAATAAAGTTAAAAAATGGCAAAAGATTTATCTGAGCTAATTCAGAAGCATAAACTGTCGAAACATCAAAAAAATGATAATTTAGCAGTCTGCACAACAAAGGTAAATAAATTTGTCCGCTGTATATGTAATCTTTTTCGCTAAATAAGAGCGAAATAAAATAAGCTGCAAAAGCGCCACATAAACTACTGTTGTTTTATTGAAAACATGTGTTGTTATAAGAAAACAAAATGTTTTGTTCTCCTGTCATAGAACTGTATTTTAAAATAAATTTGGTAAACTAATATAATTTGTGATTGTCAGCTGTCCATTTGTATGGGAAATGATGAGTTTGTCTTATGTAAGAACTAATTTCAATTTCGTTATAGTTAATGTTGAAAGTGTTAATTTGTACGTTAGTTTCAACTTCTTCTACAGCCTCAAATAAATGTCTGTTGTATCTAAAAAACTAGGAATTTGTTGAAGACAACTTTCAGTACCCAAACTGTCAAAACAAAAAAATGATTAGAGTCAACTTTAAATAAAAGTCTCCAATGTTCACCTTTTTCTTTAGTAGTTTCGTTGTTATATACAAAAAAGGAACCATTTTTTGTCATGTTACGAATAATGTGAAGGTGAGTGCGTGTTTGACTTAATTCGTCAAAAGCGTATACGCCTATAAAATAATCTTTAAAAAGAGGTTCGCTATTAAAATAGCGAGACAATGATTCGTTAGTGCACATTTTATTCTTCTTTTTCTAAACTAAAAAAACTTGAAATAAATAATGTTACAATAGCGTGTAATACGTTAATAAATCAAGTTTTTTTATTTGAAGTTCCTTTTTTTTATGATTCCTTCAATGTTTCTTTTAACAGATTTTTTAAAGCACCATCTAGTTTATTTATGATAGTAGAAGCGGTATTACTTTGTCTACAAAAGTATCTACAAAACCATCTGTTTGATCTCCTTCAAATGGAACCTTTTCTTTAACGTCTCTTTCGAGCAGCAAAACTTTGAGTTTGGATTTGTAGTATTCAGCTACAACGTTTTCGTTTACGTGTTCTTTTTCTAATTTGTTAAAATGATCTAAATGATATTCACACAATTGAGGTTGTTCTAGTAAATTTTTAAATTGACTGTTTTTAAAACATTTTTCAATAGAATAAGAATTTAAGTTGATACGTTTTGAACTTAAAATGTATTCAAGAAAAGCGTTTGAATTTTCGTCTGTATAATGTTCTTCTTCATTAGTATGAGAAGACGGTGAAGAGTTGCCAGATTTATTTTCATGACTCTTGTACTTTTTGGCTACTCGTCTAATGCGCCAACAGCGCAATTGTTGTGAATTTTTTTAATGATGCTGTCAACACGATTCATTTTTTTATAAAAAAAAAAGTTTTTTTCAATACAATTTTTTTTTTGATTTTTATACATGTTTATAAAATTTAAAAAAAAAAATGCGTTTCATTTTTAATAAAAAATCTTGTTATTTTTTTTTAGATTTAGCTGTTTGATACTGAATATATTCATAATGAGTTTGATAAAGATCATCCTTGGGGAAAAAACTGTTAAAGTGAAATATGTTTAAGAGCATTAAATGATAATTTTTATGTTCACACGCAGGTGTGGCCGTGCGTTACTTATGAAAGATTATCTGCAAAACATCAAAAAGCTTTTAATTTTTGTCATAAATATGTGAATAGATTGACTTATGATCCTAGTTTAATGTGCATTTCTGATAGTATTTCTTGTACAAATGTGTGCGATTATTTGAAGGCATATTTTGAAAAGTATTCAACAAACTTAATTTTATATAAAGGCAGTATCATGGAGCCTTCAATTTTAAAATGTTTTAAAAATGTTTATTGTTTTGATCTTAACGAATTGAATTTTTCAAAAATTCAAAATCTAAATTACTTTTACACCGAATAACCATGCAACGCACATTTTGTTGATGATCTTTTTACTAGACAATATTTAGAACATTGTTGTAAGTATGAAACTAAAATGTGGTATAATTATTTGATCGATTTCATATATTATATTAGAGGAAACACTGTGAAAAGAGAACAGTATAAAGAATTAGTCAATTTAATACGTGATAACAATCGCTGCGAGGAAGTAAATAAGAAAAAATGTCAGTGTTTTGACAAATATATTTTGTAAATAAAAAGTTTACTATACATGAAATATAAAAAAAAAATTAAAAAAAAATGTTTTTTTTTAAAAACATTCCGATGTGTTTATATAATACATGTTAAAATGTTCAGCTTTGTGAATAGGTTGTTCGTTAACAAGTTCATTTTTAATAACATCGTAGAGTTGATCGCCATGTTTATTTAAAAATTTTGAAAAGTTTAAATTTCTTTTAAAAAAATAAAACCAATTGGCGTGCGGAAACATTTCTGTAATTGATTTTCGATAAAAATTACACTAATTAGACGATTTGTATACAAATACTTTATCGTTTATAGATTTTACTTTTTCTGTTTTGAAAAAATTATAGATGGGTGTAGGAGTATAAAGCGTATAAAAACCATTATGTAGTAATTTTTCGTTGTATAAAAAAGTTAATCTTTGTAGGCAAGAGGGATATTGTTCCAACAAAATCAATGCGTTTTGCATTAACAATTCGTATTCGTATAAGTGTTATTTAATTAATTACGGAAACAAAAAATAATACTTCAAAGATAATTTGAGTTTATTTTTCCATGACGAGCAATGAGTTTCAAAAGTATATCGATAATATCGTTTGTATATTTTTAAAAAACGTTCCATTTCATCTTTAATATCTTTATATTTAAAATCTACATTTTATACTGTTATTTTTAAAAAATCTTTGTTGATATTTTCGCAAAAATTGTACAAGTTTAGTTTCCATTTTGATCCTTGTTCATCAAATTGAAAATAGGGACGAGCAGATTTGCCAAACAAAGTTTGATTGTTTTGTTATTCTTGATAGTAAAAATATAATACAAATCAACATATTGGTCTTCTGGTAACAACAATTGCAAATTCCATTTAGTTAAGTATTCTTGAAATAACTTTTTCCATTCTTCGAATCTGTTATCTAAATGTTGAAATTCTTGCAACATGGGATGTAGTTCATTGTCTAAAAAAAAAAAGATTTACAGCATTTTCTAAAGATTGATCGACCTGTTTGCTTGTCATTTTCTTAAATATAAACTAATAAAAAAATTATTTAGACTTTTTTATATTTTTTTTATTAATCCGAATGACCGCATAGTTATCCTTATGAGGGAATAAAAACAAGTTTTTTATTAATAACAAGTTTTTTTTTCAATGAAAAAAAATACAGGTTTTTTATAAAAAAATTATTATTCTTCTTCGTCTTTTTTTTCAATTTTAATTTCTTTTTGCTTAGTTTTTTTATATTCTTTTGTTTCTTGTACTGCTAAATCTTGAGCTGCTCTTTTCATGTTGTGATTAAACGATTTAGTTTGACCGCTTTTATATATAGTGTTAATCATAATAGGTTCTACAGAAACAAGTCTTTCGTGTTCTGTATAAAAGAATTCTTCTTCTTCGTCTTTTAACATTTGTACGTTAAAGGTAGAAATGGGCTGATTTTTTAAAACTTTATGTTTGCTATATGCATAAGCGTAAGCGTTAGTTTGTATTTCTTCTATTCTTGACAAAATATATGTTTATAAAAATTTCTTAGTTAATTTTGATTGTTTTGTTTTTATGATCACGTTAAAAGTAATTTCGCCATTTTTATTCTTAAAACGAACGTCATCTTTGCTTGTTTTGTTTTCGGCTTTATACAAATAATTAATGACGTTTTCTTCAAGCGAACATTGTTCACAAATGTTTGAAGGTAAACCAATAACTTCTTCTTTTGCTTTGTTAGAATAGACTAGTTCTTTTTTAAAAAAATTGAGTTGAGCTACTGGTTTCACAGGCACTTTTGAATATTGATTTTCTTTCAAATCTCTTTCGCGAGATAAATCAACTAGCCACAATGTAGCGGCGGCCATATCACCGTATTTTAAATAGTTTTGCACAAAGCAATAACTAATTTCAATATCGTCTTGTTCCATTTTTTTTATTTAAAGTGTTAGTGTAATAAAAAAAAGTTTTGATTTGATATAAAAAACTGTAAAATAATTGCTTTATATATGTTTTTTTAAACAATAGAGATTTAAAAAAACAAGAACAAAACAAGTTTATAAAAAAAATGTCAACGTGTCATTTTTGTCAAAGTGGCAATTTTTTTCGGTGATATTATTTATGACTTTATATGGTGATATCATTACCATATAAAGTCATAAATGATTAATGATACTAAATATAGTCTTTTGTGTATTTTTTGTATAAAAAGAGTAAGATTTTTTCAGAACTCATCAATCGAGATATCAAGAAGCTAAGCAATAAAAAATTGATACAAAACTTTTTGAGCTTTTGAATACTAATTTGTCCTGGTTTGATAGTTACTTGACTAATAGAAAGCAGTTTATTTCATATGATAGCGGAAAAACGGAATATAAGTCAATCACCTGTGGTGTTCCTCAAGGATCAATTTTAGGACCACTTTTATATCTCGTTTATATTAATGACTTATATAAATTTTCTAACATTTTAAACTTAATTTTGTTTGCAGATGATACAAACTTGTTTTATTCTAGTAAAGATATCAGTAAATTATTTCAAACAGTAAACAAAGAACTTGAAAAATTAACCCAATGGTTCAAATCAAACAAACTATCTTTGAACATCAATAAATCCAAATACACTTTGTTCCATCGTCTTCATAAAAAACAAGATATGTCATTAAAACTTCCTGATCTTTTTATTGATAACGCATTATTAAAAAGAGAGCAATAAAGTTTTTAGGTGTGGTTCTGGATGAAAATTTAATCTGGAGGGACCACATAGGTCTAATTGAAAATAAAATATCAAAAAATATAGGTGTTTTGTATAAAGCCAAGCAGTTTTTGAATCTATCTTGTTTAAAAAATTTATATTTTTCTTTAATTCATTGCTACTTAAATTATGCAAACGTTGCTTGGTGCAGCACAAACGCAACAAAAGTAAAAAAACTGTTTAGTAAACAAAAACAGGCTATAAGGATAATTACAAACGTAGACCGTTTCTCTCACACTAAAACATTTTTTAATAAACTTAATATTCTAAATGTATATAAACTAAACCTTTACCATATTCTTATCTTCATGTTTAAACTTGATAAAAAAATATCACCAATGTTATTTAATTCACTTTTTGAAAAAATTAACCACATATACCCTACCAGATTTTCAAAAAACAATTACATTCAATCCAAAACACATTATTCAGCAACCAAATTCTCAATTGCAAATCGAGGTCCTAAGCTGTGGAATACAATATTAAATAATGAGCTGAAATCGAATTATTCTTTAAACAAGGTTAAAACAAAACTTAGGCAATTACTGATGATACATGAAAATGAATTAAAGTTCTTCTAAAAAGCTTTTTAAACTAGCAAACAAAAACAAAAATTAACCTACTAATTACTCTTTAATATTATATTTAATATTTTAAACAATAGCCTGCTATTGTAAATGTATTTCTTATCTTATAAGTTTTGAATTTACAAACGATTTTTTAAGTTTTATTATTTGAAATACTAATTACTAAAAATATTGTAAAATTTTATAATTTCAATTTTTATTAAAAAAAGTTATTGTAAATTCTTTTTGTAATATTAATACTTATATATCATCTTATTTTACAAATCAGTTCTTAAATATAAATACTCTTTGAATTACTAAATATTTTAAACGTTATATATTTTATTTTTTACATTTTGTTAAAATATTTTATTTGATGAATATGCAATTTTTTTTTTTTGGAGGGGGGGGGGGGGCTTAATGATAAGATGAATTTTGTCTTCTTCAAGCCCCAGTCATGTAAATATTTGTTTTTTTAAATTACAAGTGTAAATTATTTTCAATCGGCAAATACAGTAATTGACAGTGAATTAGCTTATAAGAAGAGAAAAGGAGGAAGAAAACAATAATTCGTGTAAATATGCTTTACATGAATTCTTTGGTTTAGAAATACCAAAAAGAAACGTAGAAGAAAATAAAGGAGTAAAGTTTAGAGTTATTAGTGATGGTATAACGTTAGATGCTAAACAATGTAATGAATGGGTGGAAAAATTTTGTAAGATAACTCTGCCTAAAAATGAATGTGTCGAGTTGTTAGATGATGATAAAATAGTAACTCCAGTTGTAGCATCTTTGTTAATTAAAATCAAGGAAGAAAAAAGAAAAGATAAAAAACGCCATTCAGATAAATTGATTCATTTACTAAAGGATAATCAAAAAATTAAAAAACCAAATTATGAAATATCAAAAATAATATGGACAAATGCGGAAGAGTTAAAAAACAAAGTAGATGAACATTCTTTATTGTACGGTTCGTTAACTGAAAAAGAATTGCAAAGATTTGATAAATTTAAAGAACAGTTTACAACATGTCAAGATTGTTTAAAGAAACATATACATTTGCATGATTGTTTTTAGTTTGAAAAAAAATTTTGTTATTTATGTTTAATAGAACATTCAATAGAAACATTAAAAAAAAATTGTTTTGATAAAGATAAATGGGAATTTGTTTGTTAATTTTTTTTTTTAATGTAATTTTTTTTATTATTGTTAATGTATTTAATGGTAAAAAATAATTTTTTTTAGATTAAGTAAAAAAAATGAATCAAGATTTTGAAGACGAGTGGCATATAAACACAAGGCAAGAGTTGTTAAAATTAAAATATCAATTTTTTAAAGATAAGCAATATCAATTTGATGAACCATAAAAATGGCACGATAAAAAAAAAAACTAAAAGATGTGTCCAATTTGTTTCACTACATAGCATGCGAATGTTGTAAAGAAAAATATGATCGAGAAGAAATGAAAATTTTAATTGATGAGTTATACCAAAGACCTTTTACTGCAAGTGAATTGAAAAAAATGGAAGAGTACGCAAGTTATTTTGAAATGTGCAGTGAACGTTTACAAACATTTTTATTTACATATTCGTGTTATTGGTGTAAAATAGAATTTTGTTTTGATTGTTTAAACAAACATATAGCGACAAGAAATAAAATTGTATCCTACGCTGAACCCAACCAAGAAATGAAAATGTACTGTATATAATTTTTTTTTAATGTTTTTATTTTTTTTAGATTAATATGATTAATCAAGAAAAAAATGTTTCGGAAGAAGTTTTGGATGATTTGCAAAACGTTTTTGTATACAAAATGAGAAAAATATTACAAACGATTATTACGATATAATAAACATATATCAAGATGGAATTAAATTTGAACGTGTTATTTAGAAAATTAAAGAAGAAATATGGAATAATAACAATTTCAAAATTGAATTAGCTGATAGTTATTATCATTTAGACTTGTGTAAAAAACAAAATTATATGCTTCAAAATAAACTAAAACATTATGAAAACATGTTACAAAGTTATGAAAATTTTTCAATGTGTTTTTTTTTTGTCGCGTTTATTATTTAAAAAGTGATGTTTATTATTATCCTAACAATCCTTTATATTGCTTTTGTCCTTAATGTAAAATGCAACACGGATGTTAATTTATTTTTTTTGTAAAAAAAAATTTTTTTTTGGTGAAAACAGTAAAAGTAATCGATACAAAAGGTTGGTCGTGTTATGCAACTAAAGGAAGTGCTGCTTTTGTTTTACCTAGTACTGAAAAAAAAACAATACTACCATCTCAACGAATGTTGTTTTCTACTGGTGTTTTTATATCTCAAATGGATTGCAATCTTCAAGCTCATGTTACTACCAAGTCGGGATTAGTATTATATGGGATCATGGTATTACAGTATTAAATTCGCCTGGTATTATAGATTCTGATTATAGAGGAGAAATTCACGTAATACTTTTAAATACATCTAACGAAGCTTTTACTGTAAGCGAAGGTCAAGCTATTGCACAAATGTCTTTTTTACTTGTATTTTTTGCAGAAAGAGTGGTATTGGTTGGTTCAAATGTGAATAAATTATATCAAATGGAAATACAATCCATGTTGTCTGAAAAAGAAAGAAACGGTGGTTTTGGATCAACAGGGCATTAACAATTTGTAATTTATTTATTTTTTATTTTTTTTAGATGACTAATAAAAAAATAGAAGTTGTCGAATTGATAAAAGATGAAATTGAATTTGATGGTGCCAAGCCAAAAGACAATTTGATAAAAATAAAAGATGAAATTAAAGTTGATGGTGACAAGTCAATAAAATTAAAAGAATTGCGATTTCAATTGGAAAATTTAAAAATGAGAGTATTAAATCTTGAAGCTCCTGTTAAATTAGAAGATGGTTAAAAAATATTTATTCTTACTGATATGGAACAAATAATAAAAAACTCACCATACAGTTTTTTTACTTCACCATTTTATTATAAAAATTATAAATTTACATTACGTATTCATTTGTTTAATGAATTTGCTTGTGGTCATCAAAATCATAATCACAAAAATCAAATGTCAATATTTGTATACATGCAGTCGCATATGTTTGATGCTATTCTTAAATGGCCGTTTAGTGGAAGAAAACTAACTTTATCTTTACTTGGTAAAAACGACAAGTACAAAAAAACTATTATCACAAACGATCAAGCCTATTTTCAACGACCGCATTGGTTGCAATCTAATGAAGGATTTGGTTTTAAAAATTTTATTGAAAAAGAAAATTTAATTCAAAATTATATTGTTGAAGACACTCTTTTTATTAAATGTAAAATTGAATATTATTTTTTTTATTTGTTTTTTTTTAAATGCTTGTATTTTTTTAGCAATTAAACTAATAAAAAATGACAATATGGAGTGTATGGAATAAGATAGGATCAGAAAATAAAGCGTTAGAACTGCAATGTTATAAGTTGATTGATTTTTTAAAAGATCGAAATACTGAATATCTTTTTGAAGAAGTGTCGTGCATAACAGAATAAGTGTATAAAAAATTATCAGAAGATTCAGAAGATTATAAATTTGATAAAAAGAAAGTGAATCTTTACCTAAAAATGTGTTCAAAATCAATTACTAAATGTAATAAAGGAATTGATCGATTAGAAGAAGAAGTAAAAAGAGAAAAAAATTTAAAAGAAAAAGAAACGAAGCGTTTATTGATTTTGCAACAAAAAAAGATGAATAGTGCTATTGCGAAGCTAAAAAACAAAAATTAGAAACATGTGTCAAAGAATTTATTTTTCTAACTAAAACTGAAATACGTTTAAATTTAAAAAAAGATATACGAAGTCGTTTTTTTTAATTGTTTGCAAAAATTAAAAGTGTACTAATTTGGTGTTGATTGTTTTTTAATATGATTTTTATTGTAATTTTTTTTTAAAAAAAATTAAAAAATGTATAATTGGGTAAGAAATGGTTTTCGACCATTGACACCGTTTACAAAAGATGAATTAAATTCTTTGATTTCTGTGAACGAAACTATTATCTCGTTGCAACCAAATGAAGAGATAATAAAGAAAAAACAAGATAAAGACGAGAATTGCAATGTAAAATTTCAATGTGCTAGTTTTGATTCCAATAATGAATTTACTGTAGATATTGATTAAAAAAAATTGCCAGAAGTTAGCAAAACAGATGAAAAACTATCAGAAATTAGCGATTTGGATGATAGTGAAACAGATGATGATAGCAAAACAGAATATGAATTATTAAGTTCTTTGGAAAAGATTCAATTTGATAAAAATATTATGATTAAAAATGTTTTTGCTAAAAAGTTTCCCGATTTATATATGTTATTAAAAACAACTGAACACGATACCCAGCAAACATGTCAGCGTTGAATCAACGTTGAAAACCGGTCGCAAAAGATGTTGCGGAAACGTTGACAAAGTAATCGATTTTGCAAAGATATGTCACGTTGTTAAAGAGACATTCATTAAACGTTGTAGCGTAACGTTAAAAAAACGTTACTATAAGACGTTACAAAAATGTCTCAACTGAACGTTGAAAAAGCGTTACTTAAAAAGCGTTGCATAGGCGCCGCAACTTAACGTTGAAAAAATGTTACTTGAAAAGCGTTACTTTAACGTTATTAAAGCAGTTGATTTTGCAAGGATTTGTAACGTTGGTAGTAAAACGTCGATTAAACGTGACTCAAAGACGTCGAGTAAAGGTTGAAATATAACGTTAAATTAACGCTCAAATGCGCTGGAGAAAATATCGCAAAATATTATTAAACGCAATTAAACTTGGTTATAATGTATATAGAGTTTGCAAATAAAACAAAATTGTATGTTGAACTCTGCACTTGCAATATTTCCAAAGTCGATTTTTGTACAAGTAGTAATATACAATGAAAAACATAAAAAATATACAATTTATTTATATAAAATTTACAATTTATAAATAAAAATAAAAACATCTTTTTTGAGATTTATGTGTGTGAGTGAATTTACAGGAATTACGTGTGTAAGTAAAATTTGTATGTGAGTGGATTTACAGGATATCGTATCGATAAGCCAGGATATCATTGAGATACAGAATCTAAATCAAAAAATAAAACTTGTATCATTATCAATCTGAAAGCAAATGTTTAAAAAATGTTATTGAATTAGTATGATTATTATTAATTTAAAAAATATATATATATATATATATATATATATATATATATATATATATATATATATATATATATATATATATATATATATATATATATATATATATATATATATATATATATATATATATATATATATATATATATATATATATATTGTGATAGTCGTAATAGCATAAAATAAGTAATTATTTTTAAAAATAATACAATGTTTTTTTATTTTTGAAATGTTTTGTAGTAAATAACTGGGGTTGATATTTGACTGGGGCCGGGGCCGGGTTTGATAAAATTTAGCCGGGGTAAGGGCCGGGTATGAGACCAGTCAGCATAAACATTTATACATCCTAAAGTATATTTTTTAAATTTAAATTCATGCTATATTTTATATATATATGCATATATGAACATCATTGTGATCAACATGATCATCATAATCATCATGATCATCAACAGCATAAAAGCAGAAAGCTTGACAATGATAAAAAAAATTATGTTGATGTTGTTGATCGTTATCATGATAATCATCATCATCTTTATTATGGCACTATGTAAAGCACACTCTTCAAATTTTCTTACATCTACCACAATCATGAAGCTGCTATCACTCTACATGTTAATACCTGAATTACTTTAACTTTTTCTAAAAAATACTACACTATATAAATACTAAAGTTTATACAACAATGAAAGGATATTGTATGCCAGCATTTAAACAAATAGCAAACAAATATGCTTATATCCATAATATGTGTGCAAAAAGTGCATCTTGAAAGCTTATATTGCTTCTGCAATAAAAGTTTGGAAACTTTTATTACTTCTCTTCAGTTTTAAATCAAGCCTCATTCTACTCTACATCTTTCAACATTAACTATGTTTTTTTAGTTTTTTTATAAGAACATCTCTCTTAAGAAAAAATTGTCCCTATTATTATTGCAATAAGCTAATGTATAAATAAAGTCTTGTCTGATGTAAATTTTTGTTATTCTCAGTTTACTAAACCTTATATCTTATCTTAGATGTTGATTCTATAGACTTTTTGTTAGTATTCAACAGTGTTATTAACTAAAGTAAGTCTGACGTTTAATCTCTATCTTATGGGTCTCATCTTTTTACTTTACCCCAGAGTAAAACAGAGCTATTTACAAGGAAATCTATATATTTATATATAGTATGGCCGTTATATTTATGGAATATAACGGCCATACTCTTCCTGACAGTAAAATATTTTTGCTAAACTTTCAACTAATCCATTGTTAAACATCGAAATTACTCTAGCTTCCAATACTAAAACTAATTCTCAATTAAACACATCTACAATGCGTGCTTCAGACAAGATTTCCATCATAGTCTTAAAAAAGTGTTCTCCAGAACTATATACAACTTTTGCTAAACTTTAAAAAAGTGCAAAATACGTGGTTCCTATTTTTCAAATCTCTAGAAAACACTTTGACCTCTCCAAGTATCCTATGATTCTTCTTCACTTTGTCAATAGTTTCTTATAATTTTCAATGAAAAGGTTTTGAGGTAATTAAATTACTTCTTTCTAACAGCAGTAGTGAAGTTATTCTTAAAGGCTTACCCTCTTTACTTCAAGTAAATTTAAAATTCAATAATTGTTCCTGTAATATTTTTTATCCACAATAACAATCATAATGAAATCTAAAGTGGCTCTATTTGCTGATGCCTCCACTTTATACTTTTGTGTGACAATAAATCTTTACTTTTTACCCAGTAAGCACAAGACGCATTTTAGACACTTATAGACGACTAAAACTAGTCTAGGTAAAGACGCACTTTTGTAGACGTTTTAAAGACATATTTTAGACGTCTTTTATAAATGCGTTTTTAAAATGACGTGCAAAAGGCGTCTTTTTAAAAGATAAAAAGACGTCAAGAAGACGTCAATTTTTAAGACGTCTTCTAGACGTCTTTAATAAAGGCGTTTTTAAAATGACGTCTTTTTAAAGTTTAAAAAGACGTTTAAAAGACGCATAATAAATAGTCTAAAAGACGCATTAAAAGACGTCTAGATCAAGGCTAAAAGACGTCTTTTCTGAGACCTGTTTATAAATATGTCATTATGACTTCTTTTTGACGGCTTTGTCATTACGCGTTAAGTAGATGTCGTATATTCAAAGTAAAAACATAGTTTTTATTATTTTCAATAATTTGTTCAAATTTTAAGTGTAAATTACTTTAAGTTAAATTACTTTTTTACACAATTGCTAAAATTGTTGTCACAGGAATCACTAAAATAATTGCTATAATATTAATATATCTTTTTTTTATTAATAATTATTTTGCTTTTTTAACAGATAGTTGACTGATCATGATAATAAGTGAAAATGGCAAGGATAATATATAAAATAAATATCAGTATTTTTAGTTTTTATACACCCACAAGCCATATAATAAGTCAAGTGTGCGGTCAAAAAATAGCTAGCGATACGTATTCTAAATTTTTTAATAACTAAAGGTAAGTTATAAATGATTAAATACTGTTTTGATATATAATTGGTTTTTTTATTTATTATTTTTATCTTTGCAGCATCAACCGTTGGTGGTGATAGCTATATATTATTAAAATTCTGGTTCCTATGTATATTTTGTATATACGAATTTATAACAATATATGACGTATAAATACAATGAATATATACCACATACTACGCAAAAATGTTACGTCATGTACTTAAATTCATCTTAAAATAAACGTTTAAAATACGTTTAAAACGCGTTTTTATAAAGACGTCTTTATTTGGACGTCTTTTAGCCTTATGATCTAGACGTCTACAAGAACGCTTTTTAGACCTCCTTAAAGACATCTTTAAAACTTCTTTTAAACGTCTTTGTGCTTACTGCGTAAGTGCTTAGAACAAGCAGCAAAGATTAAATCTGATCTCTCTTCTGTAATAACCTAATGCTTGCTGTGTCTTATGGATTTAAATTCTGGACTCAAAATCCACAATTTTTGTTAATCAACAAAATTAATTTATTTGCTACATTAAAATATTGCAATATTGTTGGTATTCCTATATTGACAAATAAAAACCCTATAATCATTATAATATATTATATAATAATAACGATAATAAATATATATATATATATATATATATATATATATATATATATATATATATATATATATATATATATATATATATATATATATATATATATATATATATATATATATATATATATATATAATCATTATAATATATTATATAATAATAACAATAATAAATATATATATATATATATATATATATATATATATATATATATATATATATATATATATATATATATATATATATATATATATATATATATATATATATATGTATATATATATATATATATATATATATATATAGATATATATATATATATATATATATATATATATATATATATATATATATATATATATATATATATATATATATATATATATATATATATATATATATATATATATATATATATATAGATATATATATATATATATATATATATATATATATATATATATATATATATATATATATATATATATATATATATATATATATATATATATATATACATAAATATATATACATAAATATATATACAACACACACACACACATATGTATATATATATATATATATATATATATATATATATATATATATATATATATATATATATATATATATATATATATGTATATATATATATATATATATATATATATATATATATATATATATATATATATATATATATATAAATATATATATATATATATATATATATATATATATATATATATATATATATATATATATATATATATATATATATATATATATATATATATATATATATATATATATATATATACATATAAATTTTGCAATTAAAAATACTCATCTATCCATACATTAATTAACTAAATAAAACTTACTTCAATAGGTGTAACTATAAATCATCAATTTAAATCATATTATGTTCTTTGTTCATAAGACGCAAACCAGTTAAAACCAAATCATTCCTCGATCTTTGTTTCACCAGAACTTCACTAAATAAATTTATACTGGTAATCAAACTACCACAAGTCAAATAATTTTAACAGTATTATTGAAATCAGCTTTGAACAATAGTTAATATTAAATTTTTTTCTATTCTTTACTATATAAAAAAACTAAGAAAAGTTAAATCCGAAGAGAAACAAAACTATTCACAAACATTACTACTTACATTCTTCTTCGGAGTCCTCTTTAATCGTGAAATTAAATCCTGCACAGACTTCTTTACCTATTAGTAATTATTTAGTAAAATAAATATAAACAAAATTATGTAAAAACAAAAATATAGAATAAGTGTAAACAGATTACAATATATATCTAGGCAGTAATAATACCATAAACAGATTCAAAATATTACTTATTCCAAAAAAAAATAAAATAGTTTATTTGATATAATACTTTACCGTTAATATAAAACTATAATAGCATTAATTACTGTAAAATTTAATGACCTCCAGTTACATTAACTCTTTTAAGTCTAAGCTTGTTGCAGGAGTCAATGGTTGAAAAATTATTATAGGTAGCTTTCATTGCATGAACACAAGTTGGCCAAAATAACCATCCATCTTTTTTCGAACAAGATGGAGCAACTGCCTCTGCTTCAAACCTAATATATATGTAAATAATGTATATATAAATCTTTATATATACATTATTTACACACACACACACACACACACACACATATGTATATATATATATATATATATATATATATATATATATATATATATATATATATATATATATATATATATATATATATATATATATATATATATATATATATATATATATATATATATATATATATATATATATATATATATATATATATATATATATATATATATATATATATATATATATATATATATATATATATATATATATATATATATATATATATATATATATATATATATATATATATATATATATATATATATATATATATATATATATATATACTCTTGCATGTCTCTTGCATGGCATCAAAAAAAGTTTACCATAAACTGTAGTTTTAAAGAGCGCGTTAATAAACCAGACCAGAAAAAGTTTTTAAAATATAAATTTTTTTTTTTAATTGATAGACTGCCTGGCCAAACCAAACCCTCAGTCGATGTAGCAGCACTCTCTTGCGAGTCAGGCTATTTGTCAGTCGTTGTAGCAGCACTCCCTTGCGAGTCAGGCTATTTGTCAGTCGATGTAGCAGCATTCTCTTGCGAGTCAGGCTATTTGTCAGTCGATGTAGCAGCACTCCGTTGCGAGTTAGGCTATTTGTCAGTCGATGTAGCAGCACTCCGTTGCGAGTCAAGCTATTTGTCAGTCGATGTAGCAGCACTCCGTTGCGAATCAGGCTATAAGATAGTCGATGTAGCAACATTTACGCATGTTTAAAAAATGTTTTTTATTAAATCAATAACAAAAACACCACTAATTAAAAAAAACTTTCTAGTCGTTATAATTGCGGTTTTTTAAAAATTTTTTAAAAAACAATTAAATTTTATGTACTTCCGCATAAATTAATTGCTTTGACATTTCGATGACAATCAAAAACAGCTTAAGAGACGAGGTAATTAAAATTGTAGTCGTAAGAGACTTTTTTTACATTAAAACGCTCTTTCGACTACACTATAAGGGTATATATATATATATGTATGTATGTATAAGTGATAATTTTTAAATAAATTAAAAAATTTATTCGATTAACAAACTTTGTTTTGTCTGACTTATTATGTTTTAATAATTTTTATAATATTTTGTAAATGTGAATCGTATTAAAACTAAGTACTATTTCTAACTAAGAAACAAATTTTTAGAAAAGTTGAGCATTTTATTAAAATTGTCATATTAAAATAAAATAAAACATTGACAAAAATAATCTGAATAAATTGAATTTACCCTGAGATTTATGTACTTGATATACATTTTGATATAAAATCTAAAAGTTTTAAATTAGTCGCAATAAAATAGGCTATAAAATGTAACTTTATCAAACAATTTTTTATACCATATGCATGCATTCTATCAAGTTTTCCTTGCCTTTCCATTACGGCAAATTATTTTTGTAATAGCTAGTTATTGAGACAATAATTTTTAATGAGCCACTTCCTCAACATTGTCAAAACAACGTTTTATTAACGTTGGCAAAGTAACACTTTTTCAACGTTTTTTAATTACCACATTTTCAACCAACGTTGAAATAACGTTGAATAAGTGTTGTTTTTCAAATAGTTTAAATTCGTTGAAAAAGCAGCTATTGTCTAACGTTGATAAATCATTACCTTTGCGACGTTTTTACAGTGATTATTTGCGTACTTATTTTCAACGTTTAATAAACGCATTTTTTTGAGAAGATAATATACGTTTAAATTTAAACGCTTATTCAACGTTGAAAATGTAACGTTTAAAAAGCGGTTTGTTTTTAACGTTGATAAAGAATATACTTCGAAACGTTTTTAAAGTGACTTTTTGCGTAAGTTGATTCCACGTTGAATAAACGTTTTATTTTGAGAGGCTAAATTTCGTTACAATTTCAAAGCTTATTCAACGTTTCAATTTACCGCTATTTAGTATACAAAAACAGACATTGATCCAACGTTAAAAGCACGTTGTTTTTGTCACTGTAACGTATTTTTTATAACAAAAAAATACACGGTGAAATCAGTAAAATTAATTTAAAGGTAGTTGACGAAACTATTTACATTTAGAAATGTTAATAAGAATACTTCAAAAATGTAATATGAGTTAGGGTTTATTGTTTGCTGCAAAAGATAACATAACAGATGCGCATGAAATGTATGAAGAAAATTTGAAAAATCCTGAAAAAGATAATGTAATCAGATCTTTATTTTTCGAGTTGCTTATTGATCAAGCAGAAAATGGAATTATCTTTTATATGACATTAAGAAAAACAATTTATAAACTTTTTAAATTAACTAAATAATTTTTTTTTCTTTATTATTGTTTAATTAACGATTGTAATTATTATTCTATTATTATTGCTTGTAATTTTTTTTTAGATTTAATAAAAAAATAATGGAACTCACTAAAAATAAAGTAAACAAATTAATTGAAAAATTTTTATTACTTAATGAATGGTTTCCGTTTACATTACAAGAATTGATCACACAAGCTAAAGATTTTCAACCTTTTGTATGCGATGATTGTTTAGAAAAAGACAAATATTTAAATGATGAAATTAAGAAACATTTTGATTGGACTTTGAATTAATTTTTAGAACAAAGTTTTAAACTATTTTATGAATTTTTTACAGGTTATATAATGAAAGATTTTTTTGTTTCACAAGTTAATAAATGGTTTATAAAGACAATGATGATGATAAAGAAGAAATAAAATGTCATTATTGTAATAATCTTTGTTAAAATTTTTTTTAGATGAATTATGAAAACAAATATTGGTGAAATCAATCTAAACGTGAAGGAAAAAATGAACGTAAAAAAATTTTTTTTGCGTTTATCTTTTTCTTCATGTTAAATTGTGATTTATTTTTAGATGAGTAAAGAAAAACATGATAAAGATTTTCAAATATTTGGAAGGTGTATACGAATTAATTCTGATTTGGATGATAAAAATTTTTTAAAATTTAAAAACGAATTAAAAAATATTATGTTAGAATGTTTAAATTTAAATATTTTTTGTCCGTATTGTGAATTTAATCAATATAAATAATTTTTTTTAGATGATAACAGAAACTAAATTAAACGATATTTTGGAAATGTTAGAAATGGTTGCCATTTCTATCCGTTCACGTAAAAAAATTTATTATATGAATTACGTACCTATGGAGGTTGAAATGGAAAAAGTGTATAGGGAACAAATACAAGAACAATTATACAAAAAAATGAATTGTGAATTTGTAGATGAATATAATTGGGGTACGTTGAAATCAACAAATAAAAGACAAGTGCCAATAATAGTGTGTGCGTTTGTAATAATTTTAATTTTATCTAAATTTAACATTACAAATGGAGACATTGAAACTGCCGATTTTTTTAAATTTTATAAATTTTATCAAAATTATCAAGGCAAAGAAAAGTTTATTAATGAATTAAATGAAAAAATTGAAAACAACATGAGATGGTATCAAGAGAAACGAAGACTGACAGAATTAAAACTCAAAGACTTTATGACAACTTTCAAAGATCAAAATTTAGCTAATTTATCAGTGGATGAAACGCTTACTGGATTGAATTTTACTTTATCGCTATTGTACGAAAAAGCTTTACCCTATAAAGAAACATGTGGAAATTGCAAAATTATAAAATATTTTGATCAACTTGAAAAACTTAAAGTTCCAGAACTAATCTGGACTAATTAAACTCAATTTTTTTATTATCAATTAGCTGATAATTATGTTATTTTAATTTTGAAAAAGGGGTTTTGTCGTATAAAACATAGGTTGCTTTGATTCACTCAGGTTTATTTGACCTTATTCTTTGTCAAACCAACATAATCATGAAAAAAGAATCACAAGATTCCAAAAGAAATCAGTGAAAACCTGTTTTTTTGACGCAACTGTCTTATTTTTTATTTTATATAACTTATTAGATAGAAAAAAAGGTTTTTTCGTAAAAAACTTAGATTCCTTTAATTTACTCAAGTTTATTTGACCTTATGTTTTTACAAACCAACATAATCATAAAGAAGAAATCAAAAGATTCCAAAAGAAAGCAGTGGAAACCTGATTTTTTGACGCAATTGTCTTCTTTTTTGATTTTAGATAAATTATTATATATAAAAAAAAGTTTTGTCGTAAAAAACAATGGTTTCTTCAATTCACTCAAGTTTATTCGACCTTATTCTTTAACAAACTAACATAATTATGAAAAAGATATCAAAAGATTACAAAAGAAAGCAGTTGAAACCTGTTTTTTTGACTCATTATTCTTTTTTTATGATTTAAAATTAGTTATTATATAGAGAATAGGGTTTTGTCGTGAAAAACTTTGATTCCTTTGATTCACTCAGGTGTATTTCACCTTATTTTTTAACAAATTAAAATATTCATAAAAAAGTATTCAAAAGATTTCAAAAGAAAGCAGTGGAAACGTGTTTTTTTGACGCAATTGTCTTATTTTTTGATTTTAAATAAGTTATTATAAAAAAAAAAAGGGGTTTTTTTCGTAAAAAACTTAGGTTCCTTTGTTTTACTCAAGTTTATTTAACCTAATTCTTTAACAAACCAACATAATCATAAAAAAGAAATCAAAAGATTCCAGAAGAAAGCAGTTGAAACCTGTTTTTTTGACGCACTATTCTAATTTTTTAATTTTAGATAAGTTATTATATAGAAAAAAGAGTTTTATCATAAAAAACAAAGGTTCCTTTGATTCACTCAGGTTTATTTGGCCTTATTATTTAACCTACCAACATAATCATAAAAAAAAATCAAAAGATTCCAAAAGAAAGCATCGGAAACGTGTTTTTTTAACGCAATTGTCTTATTTTTTGATTTTAGATAAGTTATTATATAGAAAAAGGGATTTTATCGTATAAAACATAAGTTCCTTCGATTAACTCAGATTTATTCGGCCTTATTCTTAAACAAACCAACATAATCATGAAAAACAAATCAAAAGATTCCAAATAAAAGCAGTGAAAACTTGTTTTTTTGACGACATTGTCTTATTTTTTGATTTTATATAAGTTATTATATAGAAAAAAAAGTTTTGACGTAAAAAAAAGAGGTTCCTTTGATTCACTCAGGTTTTTTTAACCTTATTCTTTAACAAACCAACACGATCATAAAAAAAAATCAAAAGATTTCAAAAGAAAGCAATGGTAAACTGTTTTTTTAAAGCAATTTTCTTATTTTTCAATTTTAGATTAGTTATTATATAGAAAAAGGGGTTTTGTCGTATAAAACTTAAGTTGCTTTGATTCACTCAGGTTTATTTGACCTTATTCTTTGTCAAACCAACATAATCATGAAAAAGAAATCACAAGATTCCAAAAGGAATCAGTGAAAACCTGTTTTTTTGACGCAACTGTCTTAATTTTTATTTTATATAACTTATTAGATAAAAAAAAGGGTTTTGTCGTAAAAAACTTAGATTTCTTTGATTTACTCAAGTTTTTTTGACCTTATGTTTTTACAAACCAACATAATCATAAAAAAGAAATCAAAAGATTCCAAAAGAAAGCAGTGGAAAGCTGATTTTTTGACGCAATTGTCTTCTTTTTTGATTTTAGATAAATTATTATATAGAAAAAAAAGTTTTGTCGTAAAAAACAATGGTTTCTTCAATTCACTCAAGTTTATTCGACCTTATTCTTTAACAAACTAACATAATTATGAAAAAAAAATCAAAAGATCACAAAAGAAAGCAGTTGAAACCTGTTTTTTTGACTCATTAATCTTTTTTTATGATTTAAGATTAGTTATTATATAAAGAAAAGGGTTTTGTCGTAAAAAACTTAGGTTCCTTCGATTCATTCAGGTTTATTTGACCTTATTCTTTGTCAAACCAACATAATCATGAAAAAAGAATCACAAGATTCCAAAAGAAATCAGTGAAAACCTGTTTTTTTGACGCAACTGCCTTATTTTTTATTTTATATAACTTATTAGATAGAAAAAAAGGTTTTGTCGTAAAAAACTTAGATTCCTTTAATTTACTCAAGTTTATTTGACCTTATGTTTTTACAAACCAACATAATCATAAAGAAGAAATCAAAAGATTCCAAAAGAAAGCAGTGGAAACCTGATTTTTTGACGCAAGTGTCTTCTTTTTTGATTTTAGATAAATTATTATATATAAAAAAAAGTTTTGTCGTAAAAAACAATGGTTTCTTCAATTCACTCAAGTTTATTCGACCTTATTCTTTAACAAACTAACATAATTATGAAAAAGATATCAAAAGATTACAAAAGAAAGCAGTTGAAACCTGTTTTTTTGACTCATTATTCTTTTTTTATGATTTAAAATTAGTTATTATATAGAGAATAGGGTTTTGTCGTGAAAAACTTTGATTCCTTTGATTCACTCAGGTGTATTTCACCTTATTTTTTAACAAACCAAAATATTCATAAAAAAGTATTCAAAAGATTTCAAAAGAAAGCAGTGGAAACGTGTTTTTTTGACGCAATTGTCTTATTTTTTGATTTTAAATAAGTTATTATAAAAAAAAAAAGGGGTTTTTTTCGTAAAAAACTTAGGTTCCTTTGTTTTACTCAAGTTTATTTAACCTAATTCTTTAACAAACCAACATAATCATAAAAAAG